TTTATGGCGTGCGAGGGATGATTTTTTTAAAAACTCATCTATTTCTCCTAGGCGAACAACGGTCCAAAGGCCTAAAAAGGCAGTCGGAACTTTCAGGGCGTAATAAAAAAATTATTGATCCAGTTTAATCAATTTGGGCTAACTTGTCAATCCTAAATGTTATTGTTCTAGCTTTCGATAAAAATGACAAAATAATTAACCTCCGGGTCTTTTTTCTCCAGGCAAGTTTCGACTTTTCAACTTGTGTCTTTTTTAACGATTTTTTATGTCATCTGAAATTTATTTACGTGTCTTTTTTAACGTTTTTTTAGATCATCTGAAATTTATTTTAGACTCCCAATCAGGCTTAAATCGATTTAAAATGTTTATATTCTCAAACTTTGTCAAACAATTAGTCTCACGTTCATTGTCCCATGAGATCTTCTGAAATTTTTTTTAGTCAACCAGCCCGAAGGCCTAACCCGGAGGTTAACTATTTAGGTTGACATGATCGCATACATTCAACGTTGTGAAACCGTTACTCTGCTATGTTCCTGTTGAATGTGATCCGAACTGATTCAATGCCGTAAGTTAATAGCAATTTATCCGGTCGAAGTGTGTTTTTTTATATTATTTTCGTTAAGTATTCGGGTTTTTCGCTACTTCTCTTGAGGCTCCTAATTGGCCCTATTTCAGCAAACTCTTGAAGCTAATCACTGAAATGTGGTAAAAGGCATTGTTGTGGTGTAAATGAAGTTTGGTGTATTTCAAATATATTCCGTTGAAATTGCATCTGGCGCTCAGATAAAAGAGATTGAATACCACTGGCCATTTAGACTTCAGTCAAGAATTTTAAACCTGAAAAAATAGTGCTCATTTCGTTTGCATTGAATGGTATTCTCGCTCGCCATCTGTCAGCCTTCTGTCAAAGAATGCGTATGGTAGTATCAATAGTTGCTTAAATAAGTTCTGTTAAAGTTTTCAACCGTTAAGTCCCCGTTATTGAAAATTATTCGCGGTTATTTCCCAATTCCGCTTCTGTTATAATCCGTTACTCTTGATCTGATAATAAAGTGCTGATTTAAATTCACCAGACACTACAAACAACATTTGAAATGTCAAACGCGTTTTTCTCAAAATGGGTTGAGACTAGATAAAAAGCGAAGAGAAAAAATTGCTTAGATTTTCAACAGAATTAATCTGGTTCAATTTGTTTCCCCAAAGTCTCAACCGAAATTGAACCCAAAACAAGGGTCATTGTGGCATTTTTTAAATCAATTAAAAATTACGCTGAAAACTATCAAAATATTTGATGAGAAAGTTATATCAAAAGAAGCTATACAGCCCTACAATGTATTAGAAGGGTAAAACTTCCACAAATTTGCGTAAAGCATTTGAAATCAGTTTTTAGCCAATGATTTGATTTATATTTATATATATGGTTAAAATGACTTTTTTGGCTATCAACTTAAGATTTTTTTAACAGATTTTACAGATTTTTGGAGTTTTTTCTGGAACTTTGTTGCGCTGTGTAAGAAACTCCTTTTGATATGACTAGCTTTTGATATTAACTTGCTAGTTTCAACTAAATTTTTGATACATTAAAAAAAGCTACAGATACTTTTTTGGGGTAAAATTTTGGTTGAGCATTTTTGAAAACAAATTCTGGTGAAATTCTAAGCGACTTTTCTTCTGTTCAATTTTTTGTCAAATCTTAACCCAATTTGAGAAAATTGCATTTGAAATTTCAAATGATGTTCGTTTTGTCCGATTAATTTGAATCAACTCTGTATTTAGGTGACAACATTCTTAATTCTTTAATTGTAGAGATGCTTCTTGATTAGGTATTGAGATTTTTACATCTCTGAAATGCCAGATTTAAACAGCAGTCTACTAAATATAGTAGCTTAAAAAAGGTTCTTTAAAAAAGATTTTGTTCTGCGCAGAATTAAAAATTAACTTGACATATGCAATCCTGCTTGCTGCTATTGAACGTTTGCATCCTCTTGCAGTATGATTATGCACTGCTTTATTCATTAATGGCTAGAAGTTTTAATACCATGTCTTCTCAATGAAAACACGTGGGAAGAATGCGACGAGAAATCGCTCCTTAATTTGTTCAAAATTAAATTAAGTATAAAAAAAACCGAGTCAATCATGAAATTTTCTCAAGTTTAAATTAGTCCTAGCTCTGATAATTTTGCTTTAGTTTGTGATTTTTTTCCAAAAAAATGAACGTTTTCAGTAAAAGTTTCTCAGTTTTTTTTTAAATTGTTGTTCATATAGTGTAATATACCGTTACTGGTGGATGGCGTGATACGGACATATTGTCATTGATAATTAATATTAGCTGTTTGAATGTTAATTAGCACTACTGGCTATCAGGTGCAATCAATTTGTGTTCATAACTTCAGATCAGTCTTGAGCGGTTAAGACTTATCTTGCTTTGGAGGATGCTGGTTTTGGTTCTTATTTTCTGGAACATCGCTAGTTGGTCGGGGCACATTAGAGCATGATTAGAAGATTTAATTCAATTGATTTCTATTTGATTGAATTTCAGCTCAGTCAAACATTCCAACGATTGTTATTAATTTTCATCAGCTGTTGTTTACATAGTTCAATAAATAAAAGATTGAGCTCCAATTTAATATCAAATTGAATTAAGTAATCTATCAAGTTAAAGTGACTTATATGCAATACATGACATCATGCCAGAATTGCTTATATGGTAGATGGGAAATATTTAAATTGAGTTGCTGTTGAGTTATATTATTAGGAAAGCACATTAAAATTGAGCTTTCGTAATAATTTTTACGGCCAAATTTCTCCGCAGCGTGAGAACTAAATTTAGTTAGCTTTTTATTTCAGCTCGAGTTACGTCTGAGATGGCAAAGGAACTTAATATGATAGATCACTCGGTCTCAATTGTGGTATTTGAATTTGCGTGTGAAACATAAACCTCGATTCAAAGCTCTTCCTTGTCTTTGACTGTCAGATTAACATAAGTAGTCAATTACCTTGCAAGTTGCACTTAATTCTCGAATCATGGACCAAGTACTGTATGGATGCCAAGTTAGGGACTCCAATGCAATTGATTTCATTTTTCAAGTGCCCTTGAGCTAAGTAAAGACATTTACTTAGCTTGTCATTTGTTTTCATTTTGTTTCAGAGAATGTCTTGGAGTTGGTGCTCGCTCAAATTTTTCAGTTTTCGAGTTTTGATTTTTGTTTAAATTGATCACTTGAAATTAATTTGCTAAGGGGAAAGCGAAGTATGCTTTCCGGTAACAACAAAGCATATGGCGTAAACAATCTTTGATCAAAAATTGGTCTTGAAATCCTAAGAGGTTTAAGGTAATTGGTTCTTTTATTAATCAATTTTTCATATGATCAGTCGTTTTTGGTTCGGCTTTCTGAGTTTATTGACCACTTTTGTTGGCTATGTGTTTAAATTTCATTGAACGTTTTGCATGCACTAATTCAGGTTGGAATTTGTAAGCTCTAATTATGCTCTCTGATAGGAAAAACACAAATCACGCAAAAAAAAACACGAATGACTCCTGTTTTCAGTACGGGGTTTTCATGTTTTGACTATTCAGCGGAATAAAAAACACTTTTTAATCCTTTTTTCGAATTGGGCTAGTCTTTTTCAAAAATGTGTCTATTTCATCGACCGCCTATCCTTTTTTCTTTGGAGTTGTTTTTCTTTGGACTTGGTTGTCAGAAATTTCCGAAAAAGTGAATCACCCACATTATCTATTATAATCTGCTTCACAGGTAAAATGAAAAATCTCTCAGTTATTCAAAGAACTTTAGCCATTGGACAATTTACGGTTCTTTTTTGCTAGCAGCATTGGGAAAAGACCGCTTGACCCCGAGCGAAACCCTGAATTATCTGTTTTTCCTTAAATGTAACTGAATTAGTTTTAAAGATTCAATGAACGTAATGAAGACTATTATGTAGGTGCTGACAGTTTTTTATGGTTTCAGTTATGATTTCTTCATTTCCTTTTTTCAAAGGAAGGCAAACTACACTATCGAACAGCAAAAGAGTTAAGGCCACGAAAAACTTGAACGTTTACTAGTTTCCAAAGTGGATTTGATTTCAAAGATTTTCCAGCGGTACTTATCATTTTCATCTATTTTTTCTAATTGAGTTATTTTTTATCAAAAAATTGTCAATGATAAATTGTTCTTGAAATTCAAGGAGCTTTTAATTCATGTTTTGTTCCATTTTGAAATTCAAAAGTTAATGTTTTTTTCTAAAACAACAGTTTTTTTTCGGTTTTCTTGCGTTTCTTAGTTCATTGTTCCTTTGTTGTTTTTTGTTTATTGACTCTTTTCCAGCTGTGTTGGATATCTTTTCCGGGTGCCGGACATCAAGCCGACGGGACTTCCTGCCGAATCGTAAACTTAGGGACTTCAAGCCGAAAATTTTCTCATTAAGTCATGAAATATGATCAATTTGAAATTTTTTTTGAATATCTTCTCAATTTCATGATCTTTCTTCAGTAGTTATTGGCGTTTTTTTTATAAAACTTAAGCCTCCAAATGATGTTTAGGAAAGTTGAAAAATAAAACACGGTTGAAGATATTTTTCTTGTTTATAATTTACGCATTCAAAAACCGGCTGATATTATTAACGGATGCCAATCCCAAGTGGTGCGACAAAGCTCTCATTCGTCTTCATCGTGCAGTATCAAGTAGTAGAAAACGGATCTGCGAGTGGCTGTCTGAAAGGTTCCCCGAAGAACAAGAAAGCGAAAAATTTCTCCCAGTGCATGAAGTATACTAATTGACGATTGAAATGGTTTTCTTACCATCGGGCAAAAGGTGAATACCAGGCCTTTGATTGTTTTTACCATCGGGGAAAAGGTGAATACCAGGCTGTTTCATTTGATTATTTCGTTGGTTGGATCTGCATTATAGCGATCGAAGAACCTTGCTGGTGAAGATTTGAGACGGTCATGTGCTATAGCAATGAACTGTTAAGTATATTTCTATGAAGTACATGTAGTCTTGCAGCCATCGTGGAATGCTAAATTTACTGCTTTAAATAGCAAATTAGTCGCAATGGGGGCGAGGGTAAATTGAAGAATTGAGTTGCTCACATGGGTCGAATGTTTTGTAGTTGAAATATTTTTAAGCGCGGTGGGGATTGGGATATTTCCCTGCGCAATGTGCACTCCTTAATTTAGAACAAACCAACTTATGTAGGTGCTATTTGTTCCCTAGTCTTTCCTGTTTCCTTGTTGAGTTGTCAATTTTGTTTAGCTAGTAGCAATAGTCTAAGTCAAGTCAAAGTCACTTTGTTTGATAAACTTCTATCTGCAAGTAAACATTGATCGATCTGACTGACGACACCAAAGTGCTTCTTACTTATGCTTCGTTGGTTGGAGACTGTCTAGCTAGTAACTCCTTTCTCTTGTCTTGTCTATCGATTCGATCTTTATTTCTCTTTTCTTTGCTTCTATCCCCGAATTTTGAGCTCGCTTCACTGGGTACGACCCACTGAGTTCATACTCTTTGATTTGATTTTCAAAACCACAGGTTCAAATGCATATGAATTAGTTGTTATATTGTTTTGTTATGCGGAAAGATTAATTTCGACTCTTGTAAATGTCAAATGGCTTAGCTAGATCAAAACTGTATTTCTAATAATCATAATGTCAACCACCTACATCTTCTGGCTCGGATATTTTAACAAGTCATCCAGGTGAGTATTTAAAGTGCTTGTCAATTGAATGAAGCACTGTGAAAATGAAATTTTTCGTTTGCTTTAGTACTCATTTTTTCAATTTTTATTGGAAGAGTTTTGATATTGAAGAGACCACATCGCGTCTACATCTTCGGTGTTTTGATGTTTTTGCATAAATCAAATTTCGCATTTTTCGAAAATTCATTTTTTTAAAGTTGATTATAAGAGCTGGTGTATTGTAGAGCCCATGCTGCGCTTGCCAATTAGAGAATGAAAATGGCGCGTCGAATTTTTGTTTTATTTACTTAATTTTCAATGCCGGCTTAACAAAAAATATTTTGTCGAAAAATATAATTTAAAGACCCATCTTGTCACTCGGTCTGAATATTATTTTGTCCATTTTCTTAGTCGAAATATCAGTTCTTTTCTAAGTTCTTCAAAAATTTGAATATCTGGATATAAAAAGAGTACGAATGAGTTATGGCCAACTGTGAGTTTTTTCAACTAGGTGTCATTGCTTCTCCAAAATCGGTCATAGGAGATCGATTGTGAAATCATTTTCAAGATTTTGATAGTCCTGTTTCGATTACAAAAATTTTATTTACGCTTGACATTTGTTCATGTTAGATTTTTCCAATTTGTCTAACAGAATCACTGTATCAGTTTGCAAATCTGTTCTGTCGTCAACCGATAGACATATGATGAGCACGTCAGCATTTTAAATACCCGTTCTATTCGAAATTTGTTTTATGTCGCTTGTAAATTTACCAGCTCCGATTTGCTATAATTTCAATTTTTTGGTTTACCCTGAAAAGTTAGTGAACTTATACATGTCTTGGTGATTTTTTAAAGTTTTTTTCTGGGAAGTCTTAAAATTTTTTCGGGCTCAAATTTACTTTTTCGTGGTTTGACTTATGATTTATTACAAAGTTCTGTTCATTTCTTTTTTTGAAGAAAGGCGAACCCTACTATCGAACAGCAAAAGTGTTAAGGTCACAAAAACGTGATCGACTTCTAGTTTTGAAAGTGGAATTTAATTTTCTGATTTCCCAGCGGAATAAGAATTTTACCTATTGATCCAGTTTTTTAAATTGAATTATTTTTATCAAAAAAGTGTCAATTTTAAATTTTTCTTGAAACTCAAAAAGCTTCAAAGTCATCGATATTTTAATTCTCGAGTTTTTTTTTGCGTTCATTGACTCTCTTCGAACTCTGTTGGCTTTTTAAAACGTTTAATCATACACATTTCTTTACTTTCAAAGAGCTCTAACGTGATATAATGTTTTCGTGTAAAGTTGAAAAAATTTCAAAAGAGTTACCGTTCTTTTTACAATTTTCCAACTGTCTGTTGGCTATCTTTGAATACTTTAATTTAATTTATCTCTTAAATTAATGCAACTGAGACGTTCTAAATCGCTGAAAATGAAATTACTGTTAAACCGAAAGTTGGTTGTACTATTTTGTTGAACACTGAATCATTTTGAACACGGAATCAATGTTTCTTGAAAGCGGAATCTCAGATTGATTAGATTGCCATGAAATCAAAAATTTAAACGAGTTATCAAGTATTATTCAGCAATAAGTAATTGAAAAAAATTCAGATCGATCCAAAAATAGTAGTGTAATAGTACGATTTTTTTTTCAATCTAAGTCGTAATTATTAGTGCCAATATTGGGACTGCTTTACGGACTTTTGATAGCACATGCTTTGAAATTCAGTTAGTAATAAGTTAAAAGAGTTAATGCGTTTTAATGCATCAAATGAATCGAGAAAAAGTTATTCGTGTCAAACAACAAAACAACAATAAAAACTGCATTTCAAAAATTTTTCAACTCAATTTATCTCGCATTTTTAATTGCATAGTTTATACAGAACTTTGCATGTAATGAATTGGAAAGCATTAAGCCAAGTTCTGTATATGTGTATGCCTTTAGTTTTTTATATTTCATATTAATACCTACAAGTTTTGTGTCTGTTTTGTTAATACCTACAAAAAGTTTTGTTAATACCTACAAGATGGTTTCTTTGGCTAAATCAAAACAACAGGAAACTCGAAAAAAAAATTTTTTTTTTTGATTTTTGTTAATTCTCAATGATTGTGATCGGATTATTCTATGCTCTTTGCAAAGCTAAAGGTTAACCTTGTTCATCTTTAGGCATCCCCAGTTGTTTTTTTTTCGAATCTAGTAATTTATTAGTGGCATTATCATGAATTTTAACCTATTGTTTATTACCCTTGCGATTAACTGGGGTATTGCTACCGGGTAGTATACTTTTTTTTCCTAAACCGCTTCGTTCACAGGACTCATCTGGAGTTATTTCCTGTTGGTGCCTTCTTTTGTCCATAATGAATTCAAATTTTTAGCGTCTCCGGTTTAATTGGTCTGGGGGTAATGCCTACGCCTGAGACGGCTTGGACCTGTTGTTTTGAAAAAAAAACTGAAAATGTTCAGTATAAAAGATTTTTGTGCCTGTCGTTTGTCTGCGTATGTGCCACATCACTGACCTAGGTAGTTTGCATGGTAATTGAAATTGTTTTTGATGCATTTTTTCAATTTGTAGATTTATTCTCTGGTTTCGGCCTATGTTATATTTGGACATTTTTTGAACTAAAGAGGCGTTTTTCATAGCAGGGATTCCAAAATTATCAGGGGGCCCGCAACTCTGTTTTAATTCTGATAAATATTATGACAAAATCGAGCCAAAAACTGGCCCGACAATGCAGTCGTGCAGAGTAATCAGCATCAGCTCTATGTGCGCTTTAATGAAGCACATCTTGAGATCAGCACAATTTCCAAGTTTTTAGTCATTGAAATTGTGAAACTTTGTGATCAGCATGTGAAACTTTGTGATGGGTTGTTTTTTTTAACGCAAAATTGGGCACCAGAAAGTCGTTGAGTTAGGTATTTTATCAGTCTTATATTTGTGATCCGAGCTGCTGTGAAAAACTAGGTTTGAAACTGTTTAGACCCTATTAGAGCGATAGTTGATAGAATGTTAAAAGTAAAGAAACTAAAACATTGAGGTTGAACATCGAAAATTCACGTACATAGTAACTTCATTTCACCTGTTTCGTTTTTATAATATTTCGTATGTTGTTTTGCAATGCGTTATCATTTCTTTCCAAATGTCTGATGTGGTTTGACCTTGATTTATTTTTCTAAATCTTTTGGGCAGGTTATTGTGAATAGCGTCCGAAAATCAGTTGCTAAATAACATCGAATCAATTTTCAAGCTCAACTCGTCTTCAAACTGCTGCTTGAGATGTGAGGAACTCGAAGCAAGTGCTAATGTTGATGATGAAAATGAAAAAGGGATGATGAAAATAGAAACCGCCTTTGGCTTCGATTTCAGTTTTGATTCCCTTATGGCGTACTGTGTTTATTTTTGGTTAACCTTTGTGTCTACCTTAGTTGTAGTGGTGCTCTTTTTCTCAGTGGTTGGTTGGTGTTCCTTCCTCCCTCTTTTCTGCTAGTAACTACGTCACTACTCACCATCAGCAGCTACGTAATCAGTGGCCACTCATTCTTGCCTAGTGGCATTGTTCCCCTCTTGCGTTGAGAAGGGACTACTGTCTATACTTGCAATCTCCTTCCTTCTTGTCTTCTCAATTTGTACCTCTTTTCTCTCTTTCTTACCAGTTGGCCTTTTTACGCTCTCTTCTTGCTATACAAATTGAGACTATTTGGGGAATGACTGACTGAACTACTTAAGCGGAGCCTCAGACGGCGAATCAGAAATAGAGGTAGGACCCCAAAAACAACAGCCGAGTTTTAATTCCTGTTGTTCCGATTCAATTGAGTAGCGCATCCTCTAGCTCTGCCATTTGTTGTGGTAATTTTAAAGGCTTCTGCTGTTTTATTTTCTCACTAAATTGGATGAATAGAATAATACCTTTTATTCCATTTGTATCGCACTGCCATTTGTGTGAAAACTCGCTTACTTCCTTTCAACAAATAAAGTCAATTTATTAGTTTTACCTTTCATCAGTTTATTATTATTTGTTCAGTTCAGCTTATTTTCTATAATGATTAAGCAGACAAAATTATTTGTCAGCTGATACTTGTTCAGTTTTAATTTGCTAGTTTTGCTAAAATTTTCCTAAAATTTTGGTATAATGCTATAATTTCTGCTGCTTTTTGTTCGTTTACTTTTGGCCGCACCATTTAATTGTAGATATGGCAAATAAGCAAATGTAAGTTGACTTTTTTGAGAAAATACGCCATTTTAGGATGTCATATAGGTGCAAATGAATTAGGGTGGGGAGCAAAAATGGACGTTGTTAACCCTAAATCATAATGCCAACGCGGTACTGAGGTCATCCCTGCATCATCGAAAACTTTTCTGATTTTCCGACGTCAGCAATATTTGTAATAAGATGCTGGTTAACCGACAGCAGTTTTTATAATCATTGGTCTCAAAAGCACTTTATCTATCTTTACCTTTGATTTTATTCCCACTAACAATCAGTGATACCAAAGGTGGTATCACACTGGAGCCTTTATCCTGATATGCAACAACTCATTTTTTTTGGTTCCGAAAGCAAATTTTAATAGATTTTCCTGTGAAATAGAAAATTTCTTTTTAGACCAAGGTTTTTTTTCAAATTGGGTTCTGTTAATGAAAAAGCACCTCTCATAAAAGATTCTGGAGAAATAGTTGAAAAATAATCGTGAAATTAATATTTTTTCAATAAGTTTTTTAAAATCTTAAACTCAAAAGAATCTTAATCTCAAAATTTCCAAACGTGTTTTTCGCGGCTCATCTGAAATTTTTTGATCATTACGCTTCTTGATGATTTAATTTGCGGCAGCTGTTTTTGAATGAAAAACCGAAAATGCTGCTTTTTTGGTTTTTTATATACTGGGCCTTTATGTTGCACAAGATTTATTTTAAACATTTTTAAATATCTGGCCTAATTAAAGTTTTCTTTTCATGTTCTTAATTTTAAAATATCTTTTCTCTTCAATTGTTTTGTTTTCTGTTCGGATTAATAGGTTTCGGCTTATGTTATATC